AAGTGCATGTTCTCATAGGTATCAGCCGAGAGGCGACCCCACACCCGAGCAGAGCCTTCACAAAGGATGTCCGCGCGACTAGCCCACGCACAAACACATTCTGAACTCATTACTCCCGAGGAGGATGCAAGTTACATCCACAGTGGGCTACTATTAATACCCACCCAAACGGCGGAAATGACAAAGAGTTAGAGGGGGAAGAACTTCCCCTCTTCCCGTGTGGAGAAGCACAGTGGAAAGGCCGTGAACATATGCAAATGGTAGCGCCCTGGGCTATGCATTGGGCTACTAACCACAAGGGTGGCGGTTCAAACCCAGGAGCTGCTCCAAGGAGAAAGATGCAGCTGTCTGCTCCTGTGGAGATCTCCAGTCTCGGAAGCCCTAGACGGGCGCCATGGGTCTCAGATGACTAGACGGGAAGGGGTCTGGGTGTAGCTTCTGTCACACTGAAACTCTACTCCTCGGTATACCCCTGTGCACACACGTCGGCCAGACACAGACTAGAATGATCCAGCAGCACTGCTCGTTCTTGTCCTCAAACAGAAACCAAGCAAGTGGGTATCATCAGAATACATGCTGCGGTTCCTCAGCGGAAAACTCTAGATGACAACGGATGGCCTCAACTGTTGCTGTATGCCGCTTAGTGGATTCTACGACCCCAGTGACCACTGAGGACTGCGTACAGCTGCCCCGTACGTAGGGTTTCCACCCACTGAAATCCTTACGGGAGCCGACTGCCAGGACTTTCTTCCTTGGGAGCTGCTGGTGGGTTCATACCATCAGTCTTTCCATTCCCAAGTACTTAACCACTGCACCACCATGCCCCTTTGTCTCTACCTACATCCCAGGGACAGATCAGAGTCACATCCCCAAAGGTGCCTGAAAGAAGACATCCTAAAGCATATGCTTTGAGATTCAACCTTTCAGAAGTTTAAAAACTGACAAAACTCCTCTCTGCACTTAGAGGTGAGCACCATGGTTACTTCTGGAGGGCAGACTGGCCATGCCTGGGGTTGGGGAAGGTCGGGGAGACAGTAGGCCTGAAGGCATCACTCTGCATCCAGGTGCTGGTCATGTGAGGAATGGCAGTTTGAAAGGACCTCGAGTTGAGAATCCAGGGGCCTGGGGCAGTGAGTGCAGAAACAGAAGAAAATACCAAAGACAGAGCAGAGCACTTCACTGCGGGGGAGGGGGGCATGATAAGGCTTGTATACTGAGCAAGATGGGAAGTCAAGTGAGTTGAATTTGATCTTACTTGTTTTAATGGTATCCCTCTGGCTAGGGTGATCCCCTAAGAGAATATAGGGATGAAGAATAAAAGGCAAGAGACGACTTCAACAAATCAGGAAGTCGGTGCAGTGGAAGCCGTGAGAAGTGGTCAGATGCTGGAGACGGCTGAGGGGAGATACAAGATCTGGTACTGGGAGGCTCATATATGCCTGAAAGCACACAGAAGCATCACTTGGAGGGCTGGTAGTGCAGTGGGCTAAGCACCAGATAGCCAACCACAAGGTTCAAACCCACTAGTTGCTCTGAGAGAGAAAAATGAGGCTGCCTGCTCCCACAAAGATGTAGACTCATTAATGTCATAGAGGGGCTCTTTACGGGAAGCAAGACAGAAGGCATTCAATGAGATAGACTGACTGTGGCTGCAACTATGGGCTCAACAACACAACAGTTGTGAAGATTGTGCAGGACCGGACAGTGTTTAGCTCTTTGTACACAGGGTCATTATGAGTCAGAATCACTTGATCACAGTCAGCTTCGAGTCAAAAATCAACTCTATGGCATAAAGTTTGATTTGAATGCTGTGGGTTAACTACTGGACAACTAACCCCAAGGTTGGCGGTTCAAACCCAATAGGCGCTCCGTGGGAGAAAGATGAGGCAGTCTGTTCCTGTAAAATTTTAGCCTCAGAAACCCAACAGAGCCATGCGACTCCTACAAGGGAGTCCTGAGTTGAAATCAACTCAACCGCAGTGAGCCTGGAGGTTTTCCAACTCTCCGGAGAGCTGACTTTTGGAACCACTAAAGCCCAAGACTGGTTGGAATCCTGACAGACACCAGGCAGGGGCGAGTGTGTACACAGGGTGAAGGCTGAGTGCTTGGCGGCATGAGAGCGGCCTAGACTCATCTTCTGGCGTCTGCTGTAAGTGTTCCGCTTAGACTTAAGACACAAGGGTCGTACATGCCGCTGCCTGAAGGGAAACTCGTGTGGGAGAAAGCGTTCCCTTCACCTGGAGAAGGCTTCCTGCCCAGAGCTGCTCGGCTTGCCTCTCTATTTCTCCACCCGTAACCCAACAACCCCGATGTCAGTCCATCCCGACTCACAGCGTCCCAATAGGACAGAGAAGAACTGCCCCATGGGGCTTCCAGCCTGTCACCTTTACAGAGGCAGATGGTCCCCCCTTCTCCGAGGGAGCAGCCAGTGGATTGTAACTATTAACTCTTTGGAGGGCAGCCCACCCTTCACCCACTGCCCCTCCAGGGCTCCCTTCCCTAAACTCAACAATGACAAATCCCCAGATTGCAAAATCTAGAAAATGCAGAGGAGATTTAAAGACTGGGCATGTTCTCTTTCCTGAACAGCTGTGTCCAGCGCAGGGCCGTCTCACACAGTCCTGACACTCCGCCCCCTTCCCTGCTGGGCTACAAACTCCTTTAGCAACAGCCCAAGGCCCGCACGGCAGACACTCGCATTTGCCACAGAACGTGCGACTATTCAAGATGGCAGGTAGGGGCCAGACACCTATGGAAAAAGCTCACCATCAAAGCCTGTGTGCCCAAGGTCAGCTACCATACCATCATCTCAAATGTCTTAGGAGGCAGCATGTGACTCAAGGACTTTCAGAGAAACCAAAACTGCCTATATTCCATACCTGTCCAGAGAGCACCTTCACCAGGTTAACTGGCAAAAATAACTGCACATTTAACAACAAAATAAAAAACCAGATTGGGAGTCAGGCAATTATGTTTGAGCCCAGATTTCCGGTGTTTAAGGTCCGATTCTTAAATGAGCAGGGGACTGGAGGAGAAGCCACTTCATTAAAGGTGCTGTCAGAGGATTAAGAATGTAAGAAACACTCTGCTCCGAAAAGGGCTGCATGAGAGAGGGTCCTGGATAGAGTGGGAGGAAAATGTGGAGCAAAACTCACAATCTGAACAAAGACCAGGCTCACTGGTCAGACAGGAATGGGCGGAACCCTTGAGATTATAGTTCTTTGTCACCCACCTATCGGCTCTGGAAATGAACTCACCCGACAGCTCAACTTTCAGTCCCAAAATAGACTGATCTATAAGGGGAACAATAACCCTAGTGAGATGTGCACTCTAGAATAATCAGCCATCGGAGGTTCCAAAGGGCAGCATGTCCCCCAAGGAAAAGTTCAGAAGGGTTCGGAAAAGAGAAGGAACGGGCACAAGAAACGGAGGGAAGAAGTAGGACCCGTGATGGTACACTGCAGGGACGGCAATCAATCCCAGAGTGTGTCTAAAGAATGTAAAGCTGCTGCTCTGCCGTGCTAACGAAGTCACAGTGCAAAGTCGGACAAAGAATATCGGGAACGGTGGCTGGCACACAGCACAAGTCACCAGTGTGGCTCCAACTACCTATGACTGCCACACGAACACACAGCATGGCTACCACAGACGCACCTGAAGTCGTAGAAGTCGGCAAATTCCAGGGCAGCGTCGCCGTCTGTGAAGAGCTTGCAGTGGCTCTTGTCGTTCATGTGGGCCTGCACGGCTTCCGTGGAATAGAAGGACCGCCCCTTCTCGTTGCACCACAAGCAAATCTTCCCCACCCCAACTTTCTCCCCTGGAGGAGGGATGAGAAGAGAACACCAACGAGGCTTTTGGTAGGCAGGCAGGTGACCCCCCCTCCCTGCTGTGTCCCAACAATTCCAGAACCATTCGAGGGGATGTCAGTTTCCACCAAAGCAGCAGCCATTTGGTCAAAGGGTGCTATGGACCACAGCAGTCAGGAATGGGCCCTCCCTCGTGTGCTGAGCCCTCCCCCTCGATAATGTGCTTCTTCCAAGTGCAGACGAGAACTCCTGTACGTACCCAAATAGTGAAGCAGTCCCTTCAGATCACAAAGATATTCTACATCGGGAATAAAGAAGCTGTGGGCTTTTGTCATATGCGCTACATTCTTCATCAGAGAGCTTGAATGATGGGAACAAAATAAGCAGTCTGTCACAGGGATGGCCCCAAGGGGCGGGCGCTCCTCAGCCCCTTCCTCCTCCTCCTCGGCGCCTTCATCCCCCGTCTCAGCATCCCCACATTCCAATTCTTCTTCATCGGAGTCCAGATCTTCCCAATCTTCCAGCCAGAGTCGGGAAAAAGAGTCAGTGTCAGAAGCATGGTCACCGTAACCCGAGATGCCGCAAACATTCACAAAGGCTGAGGGGATCCACTCGGACACTGGGGGAGACAGGTGGTGCAGTGGCCCCTAAGACAGACCTTAGAGCAATTTGGTTCCCACAGAGCAGTCTGTGGCCAGAGCTGAACTCATAGTTCAGGGGCTGCAAGACTGAATGATGTGTTAGGATCTGCCTGTACCTGTTTCCCAGGAACACTGGGGGGAGGTGAGTGGGGATGGGAGGGTGCCAAACAATGTCAGGGTTGACAGGCTGTGAGGTGAAGGCAGGAATGACATCAAAGCAGAAGCCAAGCCTTCAAGACCCTCTGGGACAGAGTGGAACTGCCTCATCTTTCTCCCCAGGAGCCTCTATTGTCTTTGAACCACGTAACCACTGTGCCACAGGGCTGGCAGGGTTCAGAATCACTGACTGTGAGGTAGACTTGTGCAGTCAAGTGCTTAACTATAGTGCCGCCAGTTCTCCCTAAAGGAATGTCACAAATAGTTCACAAACTCAAGGAGGCAGGTTGCTGGCTCAAACCACCCCTTTCAGGTTGGCTAGCTGACTGTGAAGCAGCCCTGGTGACAGAGAGGATAAAGCACTGGGCTGCTAACCACAGGGTCAGCAGTTCCAACCCACCAATCACTCTGTGGGAGGAAGAGAAAGCTGTCTGCTTCCATAAAGATTTATAGCCTAAGTTCCCATACTTATTGGGCCCTTTTCAAGAAAAAAGAAATTACGAAGTGCCTTCTTCATAATTGAAAACTTTGATACTATAGCCCATAATCCAGGATTAACTGTAGGCATCTGCTTTTGCTGTCCCACCCCCAGTATCACTCCAATGGCCCCAAGGGGAGCAGCATCTGCTACTTTGGGAAACACTGATTTACAGCTTCAGAAACCCCAGGGAGCAGTTTTACTCTGTCTTACAGGATCGCCGAGTCAGAACTGACTCAGCAGCAGTGGGTTTTGTTGTTTTCCTCGGGGATTACGGATTACGAGTCTTCCTTTTTATTGTTTTGATCAACTGAAGGAAGTACAAGCCCATCACACCTCAAACACCAGCAGAATGGCAAACTCTACAACCCGGTGTAACATTGGCATTTCCTCCTATACACCAAACCCAGTGTCATTCCGTCAATTCTGACTCGGAGGTCCTACGTAGGATTCCAGGCAGCACACTATGCCTCATCATTCTCTCTTGAATTGGCTCCTGGGCTTCACCCAGGGACGCTGTGAATAGTAGTTGGTTGCTTTAACACATGACGCCACCAAGGATCCTGAACCAGCTGCCAGTGGAGTTCATTCTGATCCATGGAAACCTCATGTGTGTCCAAATAAAACTGTGCTCAATGGGGTTTTCAAGGGCCAGTTTGGGGGGAAGTAGATCACCAGGCCTTTCTTTCCCTGGTAGCGCCACCCAGCCTCCCAATTTACCCCCCAAATAATGATCAGTCCCTGATTCTTTTGCCTAGGGAGTGTTTCAGGCCTGGGAGGGGCCCTGTGGCTTAGCGGTGGGCAGCTAATCACAAGGTCAGCAGCTAGGCACCACGAGCCTCTCCAGAGAAGAGAGCAGAAAGACTTCCTGGGAACTCCTCCCCCCCAAGAACTCCCCCCCCCCAGAATACTTTCTTCTAGTAAATTGGCATTCTATGATGCTCACCTTC